CTACTAGCCCCAGTAGCCCGAACTGCTCACGCCGCGAGAAACCCGATCGACTCACACACACGGACGAACCCAAACGACTCTCACCAGGACGACGGGCCTGGACGACGGACACCACGACGAGCCTGAACGACTCACACGCAAGGAACAGGCCCGAACGACTCACAGCAGGACGAAGAGCCCGAACGACTCACACAACGAACAGCCCAAATGTGTCGCAGACCACAACACGCGCCAACCACTCACAAACAATGAGAAGGCCGAAGAACTCACACCGAGGCGCGGCGCCCGAACCTGCAACACCCCGAGAATCTCGAGAGACTCTTACACAGGGAAGGGCCCCAACGACGAACGCCAGGACGAACGGCCCCACGGACGCACAGAACATTCGCGAAGCAAAACACGCGAACGAACGGCCCGAACGACTCCTAGAACACGTCCCAGCAAAACAAGAAACCCGAACGAGAGAGCGTAGGCCGCCCTTGAAGCCAAACGCAAGAATCGTCGGAATACTCCTCGAGAGAAACGAACGCGGCAGCAGCGAAGACGGCAGCCCCGAGCGAGCGGCAGGGTCGTCGACGTCGTCGTTGTCGTCGACGTCGTCGCCGGGGAGTACTGGCTCGAACACCAAACTTGGAAAAGATCGCAGACGATTCCACAGGACACCACACAAGCAACACAACATGACATGTCTGAAACGTGGCACTCGATAGTCGCCGACGGATTGTAATATCCATTATAAGCCATGCTACACGTAGACACCCTGTGAGAACCCTGGAAGTTACCTGGAACTGCACCAAGGACAACCTTGCATAATACTGATACTATATCCTGACAATCGGGGAAACCTGCAACACCAGAGAACTAGACCCCAGGCCCCTGGACACCCGGAGGCACGATCAGCCTCGATCCACTACATAGACTGTGACGGGATACGCCGACAGTCAAGTTGAGAGCCTCGGGCTCTCGCATGCCTGCAAGACCTCTCAGCACACTGTACTCCTTCACGACTACGAAGAGCGTTCTACCTAAATCTACTGTGTCCCGTCTTTCCAGAAGGCAAAGCGAACCACTTCAGCCCACGCGTTGCGTAACGCTCCACGCGTCACCTGCACACGAGCGCGGCAGACGACACTTGGAACTTCGACTCCCAGACCTCCACATGTGCCTACTCAACATCCGCAGGAAAACTGGCGCACCACTCTTACTCTCTTGGGAAGAGGCAGAGGACAACGTTGAACTTCTGCGCGTGTCTTTCTGTGCATTCTTGATGTGTGTCGGACCGCTTTTGATTTATGCGTGCTTCTGTATTGAATACATGCGTGTATAGGTGCGAAGGGGAATCCATGATCTGATGTCGCAATGACGATGGATCATGCCGATAAAATCTCGAAAGTGGCGCGTCTCCGAGACATCTCGCGCTGACCGCCGTGCCTGCATGTCACCGAGCGCTAACCGCCACGACGACCTGCTGACACGAACGCGGGGCGAATGGAGAAGAATATGACTCACATCAGATGCAAAAAATGGAGATCTCGTAGCGGTGCTGGGCTACGTGCGGCATTTACGCACACAAGCCACCTCGTGCCAAAAAACACAGTAGGCGCGTGCGTTACGGGTAGGCGGAGCGAAGCTCACAGCCACACTCCAATACGAGAAGCCAGAGTGGCAACGACAACAACGCTGGTCGGGAAAGATCGCTGGTTTCGACGACGGCCGCCCTCTGTCTTGCCTCCCACCTCCTTCCCTCCCGCCTCCTCTTCCGACTCCTCCTGCTTCGGACCATAGAATACACGTACAGGGAAACAGACACATGCTTGCACCAGACAGCTGTCGGCATGCTTCGCTGGGGGTCCTCGTCGACGCGGGCACTACCCCTACTGCGTCTACATTTACTACAACGACTACTACGACTACTACGACGACTCCTACTATTACTACTCCCACTACTACGTCTACTGCTACTACGAAATCTACTACAACTACTGCTGCTACTACTCATCGTACTACTGCTGCTCTGCCTCCTACTCCTACTACTACTACTGCGAGCACTACTCCTTCTACCACGACACCTACATCTACTGCCACTGAAACTTGTCGTGTCGCTACTACTGCTACTACTACTACTACTACTACTACTACTACTACTACTACCACTGCACGGAAACGGGAGGAAGGAGGAACAGGGGAGCTATGCGGAGCCCAGCGGACACACGCCTGACACACACCACTGTCGGCATGCTTCACAAGAGGTGCTGCTGTGAGATGGGCTGGTGGGGGTACGCGAAACGTAAAGAATTCAAATATAAAGCCGGCCCGTGTCATAAGGATGCACGATATGAGTGCAAGGGCCTTGGAAGGCCATCCCGAAGTTTTTCAAGCGGGGCGCGGCCAGCGCAAGTGGCCAAGGATGGAACGAGGAGGCAAGGATGCAAGGGTAGCCTTAGGAAAGCAGCCCATCCTTGCAATGCGGGCTGACTGTATCCTGTCCAGCCGCGAACGCGTTGACCTGGAGGCGCGGGTGTGCTCGGGTTGGTACATCTATCGTGCAAGCCGCAGGGGCGAGCAGGCACCCGCTGAAAATGCGTTTCTTCACGGAAGTCTCTCCTGCCACATTCAGCCGTGGATCCCAAGGACGCTCTCTCGGCACCCGCTGCGACGTACTTGAAGCGCCCACCAATTCAATGGCAGGGCATCGTTTGCCAAAGATAGTTTCGCAGCCATCTTGTCACGGAGATGAGCTCGGAGAGCGGGAAGAGTACGAAGTCGCTCATGCAGCTCATGAAGCCCGATGTCTTTTGCCTGTGGGAAAATATACAGCCCACACGTCCAGGCACCCACGTTGGACAGATGCCGGAGGCACGCCGCTCTTCCAAGCAAGACTTCTTCGAACGCCGGGTCCGGGGAGAAACTCGACGATAAGTCGTTCTTGATCACAGTGCCAACTCCTGCGTGACCAGTGGTGCTCCCGCAATGACCACCAAGATGTCGTACAGGGAGGTCCGCGCTTACTAGCATTCCCAGCAACAATGCCGTGCGCCTCCGAGACCAAGATAATACCTGAGGAGAACATGATATGCGACACCGAATTCGCCTTAACCACGTGTCTCGGCGGGTCGACTGCGAAGAATGCCTGCGAACACCACAACGTTACCGTGAAGTCCACCGTGTCCTCACCATGGGCGGTCTCCGGGTAGGCCGAAGCAGCAGAGCTTGATGTGATCGCAGGTAATGGTAGAACAAAATCTCGAGGGATATCGCCGAGGAGGTTTACGGTCGGGAACTGTGCCTAGCGTGTCGCCGCGGCGGCCCCGCCTACACGCTATGCCTTGCGACCGGGTAGCGTATCGTTCCGCTACGCGCAGCGGGACGCCATGAAAGGCTCGGGGCGTTGACGTTGTGTGATGGGAACGTCGATCGCGTGTCGCGCCGAAACGTGGTGGGCCAGAGCCGGCGGAGCGACACGCGATCCAAAAGTTCCAGACCGTAGGGAGGAGGGGGGAGGACGGGAAGGGCAAGAAGAGGACGAGAGAGGCGGTCTGGGGACGGAGGAAGCAGAGGCTCAGGCGGTCCCCATGCCGCGAATGCGCACGAAGCACGGTTCGGGCCTGCCCCACCCCCTCCCTCCCTCCTACATTCCTCCCTCCATGCCTGGAAGAAGCCCGTGTGGAACACGACGAAATCTGGGAAATCCGGGTAGAGGCCTCCCCGAAGGTGTCCGCGTAGATGGCATCGGAGGATCGAGCCGCGTCGCCGATGCATCGGCGATGCATCGGCGATGCATCGGTGAAGTCGGCGATACATCGGCGACGTCGGCGTGGAGAAAATCGGGCTCCATATCGAGCCGCATCGCCGATGGATGCATCGGCGATGCGTCAGCGACGCGTTGGCGATGCGGCGCGCTCCTACGACCTCATCTACTCCGACCCCTCCTGGGAAACCTGGATCTTGCTCCTCTGACTCCACGAGCCGCCCGCGGGGCCCTCCTGGGAGCCTTCCAGGCCCCCGGGGCGGACGCGGCCGCGGTGCCGCACCCGCGCGCACGCGCGCCTCGGACCTGCTTCCTCGCCCGCCGGCGGGCCGTCGTCGCCGGCCTCAACGCCGCCGCCGCCAGAGCGCCCCGCACCTCCTCGCGTCCTCGAGAGGAGACGAGACGGAGAGATGTGCGCGGCTTCTGGCCACAGCGGGGGGGGGGCATCACCAGGCCCCAAGGGCCGTCGAGAAACGGCTCGGCATGAGAAGCCGACTGGGGATCCGCACTGCGAAGAGAATCACGGCGTCGGATGCCCCGAGTCCCTGTCGTCGCAGCCGCCGTCGGCGCGCCTCGAACTAGTTTCTCCTCCTGCTCCTCATCATCCTCCGCCTCCTCCTCCTCATCCTCGTAATCACCCTCTTCTCACTATCCTCCTCCTCCTCCTCCTTCTCCTCCACCTGCTCCTCCTGCTCCTCCTCCTCCTCCTGCTCCTCCTCCTCCTCTTCTGCCTCCTCCTCCTCCTCCTCCTCCTCCTCTTCCTCCTCCTCCTCCTCCTCCTCCTCCTCCTCCCCGTCCTCCTCCTTCTCCTCCTCTCAGGGAGGCACACGGTGGCTCTACCAGGGCATATCGCGCCCTAAGCAGGCGCATTCCGAAGCTCACTGCTGGCCGTCCGACCCACACAGATGACTGCGCGTACAATGCCCTGCCACCGGGGGACCTTCCATCTCTGAGGGAACAGTAGCGTCTGAGAGTATCCTACTACACACCCTTCTACTCCTTCTCCGGCCCTCCAGCCCTCGTCTTCGCTTGCCGCTCCTCCTCCTCCTCCTCCTCCTCCTCCTGATCCTCCTCCTCCTGATCCTCCTCCTCCTCCTCCTCATCATCATCATCATCAGCATCCTCCTCCTCCTCCTCCTCCTCCGCATCCTCCTCCTCATCCTCCTACTCCTCCTCTTCCTCGTCCTCGTCCTCCTCCTCCTCCTCCTCTTCCTCCTCCTCCTCCTCCTCCCTGCCGCCGCCGCTCGCCCGCCTCGGACCAGTTCCGCGCCCGCCGGTGGGCCAGCAGCGAGTGCGCCACCACCGCGTCGCCCTGGCCCAGCCGCAGCTGCACGGGCTCGCCGAGGTCTATCAGGGGCGACCCGCCCCTGCCGCTGGCGGCGCGGTGCAGCACAGTCGACCCGCATCATAAGGATTCGTGGCAACCCAGAGATCTAACGTTTTTGTTCTTGTTTTTTTTCCCCCCCCCCCCTCAGCGAACACTCAGCAGCTACTTTTCCCACAGCGACACAGCACCGAATCCGCTTTCCCTCATGGGGGCTATGAGCGCACCCCAGATCTAAAGTATTGAACAAAAACAAGACGGACGTTTTTCGCAGTTTTCGGTCTCTAGGGGCCCTCGCCGGGCCTCGGGAGCGTCAAGAAACGACTCAGGATGACAAGCCCGTCCTGGGGAATGGGTCGAGACTTCCGGGGGGCCCGTATTGAACAAATCGCGACATCGGACCTCAGGTAACGACGCAAGGGCCTTGGAAGGCCATCTCGAAGCTTCCCGAGCGGGGCGCGTTCAACGAAAGCGGCCAAAGATGAACCGAGGAGGCGAGAATGCAAGGGGTGCCTCGGGAGGGCTGCCTGCACAGTATGTAGGCACAGGCAGGAAGAAATCGTACTGCAAGAACTCCAGGGGCACATTCGACGTCGGTCTTTGAGATTCCAGAGGGAGGGGCTCAAGCGCAAGTGTGGGTCCAATGGGCAATCGGGGAATAAGGAGTTCGCCCTGTGGCACCTGCAGTCAAGCCGCTTCAATATCATATGTGCTTACTCGATGGACGGCGATGCGGACGGCGGCGGCGGGGCTACCCGGACCTCCCCTCTTGACACAAAAACAGCGCGGAGTGCTGTTCGCCGTCGTCGCCGTCTGGGGGCCGTGGTCGTCCAAGGCCTGCTCGGGACGCAGAGCCAGCACTTCGGGTCATGTTGCTCCCATCGTACTTGAGGGCCGCATCCCAGAAATAATGTCGAGCACCCAAAACAGTGTCGAAAGAGCGTCGGACTAGTGTCGGGCGAGTGTCTCCCAGGGCCCGACGCGTGAAAACCCTCGAACTTCGGTCCTTTAAAACTCCTGGTGCTCGAAATTCTTGCTGGTGGTCAAGGCTAGAGTAGGATGGAACATCATAAACTTCGGGGAGGGCTGGGCGCTCCAGGGACCCCGTCGAAGGAAGCCGGACATCGGAGCCGTGGGCACGGACGGCGGCGGCGGCGGCCGGATGCGGCGTCTGGGCCAGGGAGGCCGCAGGTCGCCGGAGCGCTCAAAGAGGGGCACCAGAGCGGTATCCAAGGCAAAAGGCAACGCAAGGGGGTGCCCCCGAGACAGTATCCGAGGTGGCACCAAGATGGTGTTGAAGATGGTATCCAAGATGGTATCCAAGGCTGCGCAGACTGGCCCACAAGAGAACGCCCAGCGTCGTCCCATGAAGCCGCAGGGCTGCCCGAAGATGGCTCGCGGTGGCCATGGAGCCTCTCGAAACCGAGCGCGCATGCCAACGCTGGGGGGGCCCTGCGTGGGCCCATACCAGATCACTCGCATGCGTACCCAGACGTGCGACGCCGCGATGGCTTCGCAAGGCAACTCGGCTCCCCAGAGGTCTGGACCATCTGCTTCCGCCCCGCGTCTTGTCGACGGTGCCGAAGTCCGGTGCTGGCGCCCGCAGGCCGAAGACTACACCCTGCGAAATGCTCAAGAAATCATGGGTTAAGAAATTCACAGTCTCAGAAATTGAATAAAACCCAGAACTTCTATCAACATCTTGGGATTTACATTGGGAAATTAAGAATAATCGAGACTCTGGACGAAAACTTAGGTTTTCTTAAGCATCGCCTAAGGTGTAGGAAGAAGCCGCCGCCGTGGCTTCCGACGACGCGGGGATGTCAGATTCGGCACGTCTCCCGGTGGGCGGCCCTGGGGCCCCCGGCGGCGGGCGCCACATGAGCGTTCTGCTCGGGAGCCGCTCGCCAACACATCTCCTTCCACGAAAGCCATCACATCAGCATGGTGATGGCTCCATCGCGTGCCGCTGCTTGCGTTTACTCCTGACATCAGGCTGGATCCTCGTGTGCGGCTTCGGCCTCCGCCCCTCTCGATATCTGCAGCGCGACCCCTGTCCACCCAGCTCGTGATGCGAGCGGAGCCGCGAGCCAACAATGCCGGCTCTCCTCCCTCTGCATCCGATGGGTCCCTGAGGCCTGAAGATGGCCCCACGATGGGGTCGTCGTCGTCGTCGTCGTCGTTCGGTGTCGGCGTTCTGTGCCGACGTCGGCGTCGGCGCTCGGCGTCGGCGTCCCGCGGCGGCGGCGGCGGCGGCTGCCGCGCCTGACGCGCCGCGGGCCCTGCGTGGCGCCCGCTCTCTGACGCGGGTAGGACGCGTGCAGCCGCCTCCGCGGGGGGGGGGGGGGGGCGCCGCGGCTGGCGGGGAGGCAGGGAGGCTCACGGCGGAGGGCGGAGGGCCTCCCTTCCATCACATCCCTCCCTCCCTCCCTCCCTTCCTCCTCCTCCCTCCCTCCCTCCCTCCCACCCACCTCCCTCCCTCCTCCCTCCGTCCTCCTCCTCCGTCCTCCTCCTCCTCCTCCTCCTCCTCCTCCTCCTTCTCCTCCTCTTCCCTCCTCCCCTTTCCTCTCTTCTACCTCCCTTCCTCTTCACCCTCCCTCCTCCCTCCTCCCTCCTCTCTCTTCCCCTCTCCTCTCTCCTCCCCTCTCCCTCCCTCCCTCCTTCTCCCTCTCCTCTCCCCCTTCTCCTCCTTATCCCTCCCTCCCTCCCTCCCTCCCTCCCTCCCTCCCTCCCTCATATCCTCCTCCATCCTGCCTCATCCTCCTCCTCCTCCTCCCTGCTCCCCCCTCCTCTCGTCGCCCTCCCTCCCTCTTCTCCCACCCTCACTCCTCCTCATCCCTCCCTCCTTCCTCCGTCCCTCCCTCCCTCCCTCTTCCCCTCCTCCCTCGGGCTCCTCGTCGTTCTGGGCCAGGCCAACGGCGCGGCCGCCGGCGCCCAAGTGCTGTGCCGACTCAGTCGGGCACCATTGGCAGCTGCGCGATACGGCGCGCAGCCAGGCAGGCGAATCCGGTTCGGCGAGGGGGGGCGCATGGCTAAGGGGGAAAGCGAGACCTCCTTCCTCCCTCCTCCCTCCTCCCTCCACTGCCCTCCCGCCCTCCCTCCCTCCACCCTCCTCCCTCTCTCACTCCCTCCACCCTCATTGTCCCTTCTCCCTCGTCCCTCGTCCCTCCTCCTTCTCCTCCCGCCTCCCTTCCTCCCTCCCTCCCTGCCTCTCCTTCCTCAAACACCCTCCATTCCCTCCTCCGCCCTCATCCATCCTCCTCACCCTGGCACTTGGGACACCTAGTGGCTCGTGAGCTCATCTGAACGCACCCTCCTCCTCCTCCTCCTCCTCCTCCTCGTCCTCCTCCTCCTCCTCCTCCGCCTGCCTGGCGCACTCGCGGTACGGTTTTGCACCGTACCGAGCGACCCAGAGCCCGCGCGCCCGCGCGGGGGGGCACGCGGTATGGGGAGGAGGGCGGAGGCCTCACCCCCCGCTGCCCCCCCTCCCTCGGGAGATCGTTGTTTTATCTTTCGGCAGTGGCCCAGGTTATCCCGTTGGGGGGGGGGAGGGAGGTGCCGGCCGATGGCCTAATAGTTTCGCTTTGGGCAGCCCCTCGCATGCCCACGCGCACCGATACTGCGTATCCCCTGCGGACCTGCGCAACAAACAAGGTCAGGTTATCCTGGGGGCAGGTGGGGGGGGACAGGCGGGCCCGTAAACCCCGGCTATCGCCGGACCCCCCAAAAAAGTCTCCTCCCTCAGCGCCCCACTGACGGGAGGAGACGCTGGTCCATGTATTCGGCGTGTGATGCCCGTCCCTGGGCTATTCGCACCTACTGTTAACCCCGAGACTCCACCAACGGGCATATTGGCCAGCAAACAGGAGAACCTACCCTCCCCGATGCGGGCAGTGCTGCAGTGTCCGAAAGGGGCCCCAAAGTGACAACGTCCAGCGGGCCTCCAAAGAAATTGCCCCGAGCTCCGACAGATGGATTTGTTCGCAACCTGGATCCCTTCCCCGGGACCAGACTCTCATCCTGAGCAAATTTGTTTGAGGGTCCCGTGGCCCAGTGAGGACCCCCAAAGGCCGAAAACTGACACAAACCTACCCGTCGCGATTTGTCATTGCACTGGCCTCGCAGGCGTGATGCAGCGGATTTCTGCGTGGATTTCTGCGTGGATTGTTGCCCGAAGCAGCGAGCGAAAAACGAAGTGAGATTCGCGTGGGTTATTTTTGGTCTTCATTCCTGGCCCCAAAAAATCCGCACGGAAATAACCTTGAAATCGGGAACGAAATTCTCCAGGACACCCCAGGCCCGCCCTATCGTTTTTCGAACGAGATCCGCTCTGCGATATTGGCGCCATGAAACCTACCCGTCGCGATTTTTCACAGCGGGAGAAGGCGGGCAGTGCGGCCGACAGCCCCCCTGCGGGTCCCCCATACCGCTCCTGTTCACGAGCGAGCCCTGTGACAAACTTCTGCGGCGCCCCAAGAATATACCCGTTGATGAGTCGTCGTCGTCGTCGTCGTCGTCGTCGTCGTCGTCGTCGTCGTCGTCGTCGTCGAAGAGGCAGGAGGAGGAGGAGGAGGAGAAGGAGGAGGAGGAGGAGCAGGAGGAGGGGGAGGAGGAGGAAGGACGAGGACGAGGAGGAGGAGGAAGAGAATGGGGAGGTGGGGAAGAGGAGGAGAAGGAGGGGGAGGAGGAGGAGTCCCTTTCGGAGGAGAGGGAGGAGGAAGAGTAGGAGGAGGAGGAGGAGGAGGAGGAGGGGGAGGAGGAGGAGGAGGAGGAGGAGGAGGAGGAGGGAAAGAAGGCGGAGGGGGAGGACGCGGAGGAGGAGAAGGAGGAGGAGACCAGTGTAAACCCTAGACTGATTGACGCTGTTGCACTGAACCACCCCTCGAAGCTCCCTCTTCAAAGGGCCCTTCAAGGAACCATCTCCACTGAGGGAAGTGCCTCGTTGGGAGACAACCGCTTGAAGATCCTGAAGCGTGCCAAAATAACTACCACGCTCGGGACCCCAGCGCCACGAATCAACCTGACTGTTGTGTCTTGACGACCTGCATCGCGCCAGAGCGCCATTCCTGGGACTTCAGCACCGCGAATCAACATTACTGTCGCGACCTGATATTCTTGGATTGCTCCAAAGCACAATGTCTGGTAAGAGCGGTATAGCGAGAACCACATTGTCAAAACAAAAACCGACCTCAAGCTGTAAGGCTTTTGCAAGTTGCTACAACGCCTGTTGGCGGCGCTAAGGCATGAACCACATTTTGAAAACGACCCGCCCTCAATCCGCAAACTCTTGCAATGCTTGAAACGAGCGTGTTGCGATACAGTGAGAGCCACATGTTGGAAGCGACCCGCCCTCCACCTGTGAAACTGCTGCCAACTCTGAAGCTGCCAGACCATCAACGGTAAGGAAATCTCAAGCGAAACGCATGGCCCGCCCTTCCGACTGGCCTCGGGGCGCGACAAGGAAGAGTTCGCTACAAGGAAACGCATGGAGGAGGAGGAAGGATCAGGAGGAAAAGAAACACACAGACACAATTAATCCTCGATTCCCCAGAAAATATGGGAAAATATGGGAAGTGGGGGGGAAGACAGAAACCCAGAAAATATGGGAAAATATGGGGAATATCTTTCTTTGTGTGTATTTATCTGTGTGTCCTGGGGCCCCTTCAAAGGAGGCTGCCCCCCCGCTCCCCCCCGCCGCGCCTGTTCATGTGCGAGCCCGGGAAGACGGTAAAGCCGCCCCACGACTTGCACCGGCCCTGCGCGGCCGCTGCTGTCTGCCGCGGCCCGTCCCCGCCGCCGAACCGCAGCGAGCAGGACGAGGGAGCTGCCCTCGGGGGCTCCCGTCGGGCCCGGGACAATGAACAGTGGATCCGGAATAGAAAGCGGGCCTCGGGGAAGGGGTCCTCCTCCTCAATCCTCCCTCCTCCCTCCTCCTCCTCCTCCTCCTCCTCCTCCTCCTCCTCCTCCTTCTCTTCCTCCTCCTCCGCCTCGCCACCTCGGCCTCCTCCTCCTCCTCCTCCTCGGGACCTCTGGCCCCCGGAATGAAAAACAACAATCACAGAATGGCGGATGCCAGGGAGTACAGGAGGACAAGGAATGATAGGGGAAGGAGAGGGGGGGAGGAGGTGGTCCAGGGCGGTGGAGACCGGGGGGGATGTTGACGAGGAGGCAGAAGAAGGGTTAGGAGAGAATGAGGAAGAGGAGAAGGACGAGGAGGAGGCCATCATCCCATCCTCCTTCCTCGCCCTACCTGAGACACTCCTCCTCCATTCCTCTTGCTTGTAGAAAACTCATCCCTGTCGAGCCATGAAGCCAATTGGAAGGGCGGGCCGGGCGTTTCGCCTGAGACTTCACTACCATGTATGATCCCGAAGCTTCAACATGGACAACAGTTTCACAGATGGAGGGCGGGCCGCTTTCAAATTTGGCCCTCTCCTAAGCGCCAGGTTCCTTTTGTAAGTTCGCCAGGGCTTCACGGATTGAGGGCGGGTCGTCTTCAAAATGTGGCTCGCGCCTTACCGACGCGCACCTTCGCATTTCTTTGAAAAATGCGAGAGCTTCGCGGATGGAGGGCGGGTCGTTTTCAAAATGTGGCTCTGGCCTTAGCGCTGGGCACATTTGTTTCCACGGTCTCATGGTTAACGTGCCAGGAGCGTTTTCTTTTGGAGCAGTATAGGATTGTCAGCGCGCAACAATTGCAATGATTCGCGGAGTTGAAGTCCCAGGCATGGTATAATGGCACGATTCGGGATCATCATGACGCAATAATGAAGTTGATTCGTGGCGTGGATGTCCCAAGAATGCTTCTCTGGCACGGTACAGGATTTTCGAACGGTTGTCTCCCAAAGGGGTACTTCCCTGGCTTCTCTCAGTGGAGATGAATCCTTCGGGGTGGGGCCTATGAAGACGGAGCTTGGAGCCAGGCTTCATTGCAGCATCGTCAATCAGCCTTGGATTTACACCGGTCCTCCTTCTTCTCCTCCTCCTCCTCCTCGTCCTCCCTCCCTCCCTCCCTCCCTCCCCCTCCCCGCCGCCACCCACTCCACCTCCTCCTCCTCCTCCTCCTCCTCCTCCTCCTCCTCCTCCTCTGCCTCCTCCTCCTCCTCCTCCTCCTCCTCCTCCTCCTCCTCCTCCTCCTCCTCCTCCTCCCCTCCCCCTCTCGCTTTTTACCTCCCCGTCCTCCTCCTCATCCAACTTCCTCCTCGTCCCTCGCACAATCTCACTCCTCCGCCCGCCTGGCCCATCACCTCCCTCTCCCTTCCTCCTCTTTCGTCCTCCTGATCCCACATATCCTCCTCCTCCTCCTCCTCCTCCTCCTCCTCCTCCTCCAGTTCCTAATTTTCATGTTCTCTTCCTCTTCCTTTTCCTCTTCCTTCTCCTTTTCCTCTCCCTCCTCCTCCTCCTGCTGCTTCTCCTCCTCCTCTTCCTCCTTCTTCTCCTCCCTCCTCCTTCTCCTCCTCCTCCTCCTCTCCTCCTCCTCCTCCTCCTCCTCCTCCTCCTCCTCCTCCTCCTCCCCCATTCCCCTCCTCCCTCTCTCGTTCCTCTCCTCCGCCTCCTCCTCCGCCTCCACCTGCTCGCTCGCTCACCAGATGGGGCCTAAGCGTTCGGGCGCATGCCACTGGAACAAGGAAACAGGGCACACGCAAGCAAAGCCATTCCTCAAGCCCACTTACGGCGACGAAGGCTCGCACGACCCACCTGCCTGGAGGGGAGTCCTTCTCCGTCATCTCGACTCCTCCACATCACCCTACCATCACCATCACCATCACCATAATCGTCATCATCAGCATCATGATCACTATCATCACCATCATCGTCATCATCATCATCATCAGCAGCATCATCATAATCAGCACCATCATTAGAAGCAAAATCATCTTTTTCGTCATCAGCATCATCATCGTCGTCATCATCGGCATCAGTATCATAATCGTCAGCAGCATCAGCATCATAAGCATCATAAGCGCAATCAGCATCATCGTCATCCTCATCAGCATAAGCATCATCGTCACAATCAGCATCCACACAATCATCTTGCTAAACAGTACTTTCATCATAATTGTACCATCATCATCATCATTAACAGCAGCAGCAGCGTCGTGGCCATCATCCTTGCCACAATCAGCAGCATCATCATCATCACCACCATCACCATGCTCAGCAGCAGCATCATCAGCATCATCGTCAGAATCGCCATCATCATCATCATCAGTGTCACCACCATCACCACCATCGTCGTGAGCATCATCATGGTAATCATCCGAACAAGCGTCGTCATCATCATCGGCATCAGGACCATCACGATCACAATCACCATCACCACCACCACCACCACAAATAGCATCATCAACAACATCAGTATCATTACCAGTATCCTGAACATCCTAATCATCATAATCAACTTGATTACAATCATCATCATCATTATCATCATCCACATCATCATCATCATCATCATTGTCGTCATCATTATCATCGTCATCATTGTCAGCATCATCATGCCAGACGTTGCGATCATCATCACCGTTAACATTATCACACCAATCCTCAGACCTCACCCTCCTCCTAATCGTCATCACCATCATCATCAGCATCATAATCACCACACTCGTCATCAGCATCACCACAACCACCATAACCACCTTCAGCATGCGCTTCATCACCACCGTCGCATTCATAATACGTAGCATCCGCATGACTATCATCGTCAGCAGCATCACCACAATCAGCATACGCATACATACTCCTAGCCATCAGCATCATCACACTCATCACTCTCGCCGTCTTAATCCCCATCGTCATCCTTATCGTCCACCCTGTCCCCCCTCTAGTGCGCCCCTCACCAGGCTGCGAGACAAGGCAACTGCCTCTTCCCCGATTGCTCTGGCTCCCATTCTTCTTCGTGCGAGGCCGCCCGGTCGGCTGGGCGGGCACTGGCTGGCGGCAAGCCAGCGCTGGCAAAAACAATACATTTGATAGGAGGGCCCCCACGGCAAAGCCCCCTCCTCCTCCTACCCCCCCTCCTCCTCCTCCTTCTCCTCCTCCTCCTCCTCCTCCTCCTCCTCCTCCTCCTCCTCCTCCTCCTCCTCCTCCTCCCCGTCGCCTGTCCTCCTGCCTCCCCCTGCTCCACCTCCACCCGCCGCGTTCCCAGACACCCGACGCCGCAACGTGATGCACGGCGTGGCTCCCCAGAAGGCTGGTCCTTGTCCTTGGGACCGGCTCTTCGTCCGAGCCGTCTTCGGACGGCCCCGGGGCGCATCCCCCTGTGGTGTACTTTGCAGGGCACGCGATTTACAGGCGCATGCAACCAACGGCGCTCTGAAATGCCACGGAATTTTCGCGGGCCCATGATCTGAACATTTTTTCGCCGGCATGAGAGAATGACCCTGGCGCAATTATCGCTGGCGCGGAGCCCACCGCGTCTGTTACGGGATTGAAAACACTTCACCTTGGAACCGGCTGGGAGGTCTGCATTGGATGGGCCCCGCGCACTTCGATCCAGAGTGGGGGACAAGGACAAATCCGCCCAAAATCTGCCCCTGACCACTCCCGGGGTCGAACCTGCCAAATTTATCGAGCCGCATCCAGCCGTGGCGACGAGGGGGACCTTTGTTCCCCCTCTAGCTGGGCCGCCTCAGTGCCCCATCCCTCTCCAAACTCCACATCCGCCCTCCTCGTTCGCCTCCCCTTCTCGCTGCCAGGCCGCCTGCGCGAACAAAACTGCACCAGCAGAATCACGACCGGACTCCTGGACCCCGTCTTCCCTGCTGCGTTTGTGAGCCCGATCGATATGTAACGGTTTCCCCCCGGGCCGTAGGCGACTCTAAGAGGAGGAGGGAGGAGGAGGAGGGAGGAGGGAGGAGGGAGGAGGGAGGAGGAGGAGGAAAGGGAGGAGGAGGAGGAGGAGGACGGGTCGCCCAAGCCATTCGGAGAAACCCTCCCGTTCGCCCCCGCCTCCTCTCGGCGGCGCGCACGGGGCGGTGGCGCGAGGGGGGGGGGCCCTGAGAAGGCGGCGCGCTTCGCACAAGTCGGGGGCGCGCAAGCGTGGATCGGGGGAGGCCAACGCTCTGGCCATGGCTCGTGCCTCCGGCGGCCGCCTGGGACGAGCCGGGCCCCCCCGGAACGCTTTCGGCGAGGCGCAGCTGCTGGAGAGCATCCCGAGACGAGACAACCTCGGAACAGCCGAACCTCCCGGAAACCGGGGGTGCGCAAACATGGATTCACGATCCATGGGTTTGGCGCGCGGTCGCAAAATCCATGGATCGGGGGAGTGGCCCTCCCCCAAATGCAGCCAGTGCCGCCTCGCTCCGCGGCGGAGATCCGCGATTTCCAAGAAGGAAACGGGGCCCGTCGCTGACCCACGCCCCTTTAATCCATGCTTGCGATCGCCTGAACACGGCAGAGGCCTTCTCAGAAGGGCCCGGAGGCTTCCAAGAAGGCTCCTTAGATGCCCGGCGGGCTGCTGAGAAGGCCTCCGCCCTCTTAGAACCCCCCCCCCGCCTTCTCTTTGCGTGTTTTGCTTGTTTTCTAACATATATTGCATCTCTTTCCCAAAATTCGGCTTGAGGGGTTCTCACTTGGTGGAAGGTCGGTGCCTCCTGTTGTTAACTTGCCCGTTGCCCAGATGCTCCCCCTGTTCCCCGTGCTCCCCTGGCTCCCCGCCGCGGGTGCCTCCTGTTGTTACGCTGCCCGTTCCCCTGGTACCCCGGGTTCCCCGCCCCTGGCGCCTCATGCCAAGCAATGCCAAGAAATGCCAGGCAATGCCAAGCGAAGCCAAGCCATGCCAGACAATGCCAAGCAAGGCCAAGCAATGCCAAGCAGCGC